CCACCTTCTCTGTCTAAAAATATTCATGTAATTTAAACAATGACCTTGTTGTTTGCCTTGTATTATTGCCAACATCCCCTCTCTATTCAAACTGCCTTAGTTATTTAGTTAAATTATGTAGAAAAAACAGTTACCTTTCATAACTGTTGTTCTTCAAGATGTGTTGCTCATGTCCATTCCTTTGTAGATATGGGCATGCCCATGTGCACAGTTGTTGGAGACTTTTGCCTTAGCTGTATCGATAAGGTCAGCCGTGGCGCCCCCTTGAGTGCCGCGCTCATGCATCGGTATATTAGGTGCTGCCGACTCTCTGCCCTCTCAGTTCCTTCTTGCCTGCAACTCCGACAGAGGGGTAGGAGGGCGGGTAATGGAATGGACATGAGCAACACATCTCGAAGAACAACTGTTATGCAAGGTAACCATTTTTTTCTTCTTCGAGTGCTTCCTCATGTCGATTCCATTCTAGGTGACTCACAAGCAGTATCTACGGAGATAGGCTCGGAGTTCACAATTTCGCGGCTTGCAGTACTGCCCTACCAAAGCCGGCATCATCCCGGGCCTGCTGAGTCAGTGTGTAGTGGGACGTAAACATATGGATGCATGACCCAGGTGGTCACCCTGCAGATGTCCTGGATAGGCACCTGGACCAGAAAAGCTGCCAAAGAGGCCTGCACCCTGGTTGAGTGGGCGGTGACAATCGCCGGGGGCAGCACCTTCACTTGATCATAGCAGAAGCGAATGAAGTGATTCAAGAGGCGCTTCTTTGGGAGGATACAGGGTGCCCTTTCATCCTGTCAGCCACAGCAACGAACAATTCTGTAGACTTAGGGAATGGCTTGGTCCTGTCAATGTAGAAGACTAGAGCCCTTCTAACGTACAAGGCATGCAGTCTACACTCCTCCTCTGACTTATGCAGCTTATGAAAGAAGACCGGTAAGTAAATGTCCTGGCTTGAATGAAACTGAGAGGCCACCCTTGGGCAGAAAAGCCAGGTGAGGTCTCAGCTGTACCTTGTTAAAAACTGTATAACATGGCTCCGAGGCGAGCGCCCAAATTTCCGAGACCCGACAGGCCAAAGTCACCACGACCACGAACGCAACCTTCCAGGACAAGAGAAGGAGAGAACAGGAAGCCAAAGGCTCAAAAGGGGGACCCGTGAGCCACACCAGCACCAGCTTCAAGTCCCATGGAGAAACGGGATCCTTGATATGTGGGTAGAGGTGCTCAAGGCCTAGAGGAATGTCCTGGGTGAAGACCGACCTGCCCTCGAGCGGCAGATGGAGTGCTGAGATGGCCACCAGGTGGACCTTGATCAATGAAAGGGACAAACCCTGGAGCTTGAGATGCAGAAGGTATTCCAGAATGAGCTGCAATGAGGCCTGCTTGGGCTAGACGCCTTTCTCCGACGTCCAACAGGAGAACCACTTCCACTTGGCTAGGTAGGTTGCCCTGGTAGAGGGCTTTCTACTTCCCAACAGGATCTGCTGAACATCTGCCGAATACTGCTGCTCCTGCTCATTCAACCATGCCTCAGTCAAGCTGTCAGGTGCAGCGCCGCTAGATTCGGGTGCAGAAAACTGCCACGGTTTTGGGATAGAAGTCTGGCCTGAGAGAAAAGGTTCAGCAGAATGCTGTACCAGAGCTGGTACAGCCAGACCGGCACTATGAGGATCACTCTTGCTCTGTCCTACCTGATCTTTGTGAGGACCCTGGGGAGCAACGGCTCCGGAGGAAAGGCGTACATCAGAGCCCCCGACCACGGGAGTAGAAAAGCATCCGACAGGAACCCCCGTCCAAGCCTCTCATTGAGCAAAAGACGTGGCATTTCCTGTTCTGTCTGGACGCAAACAGGTTCAACCGAGGAGTTTCCCACTTGTGGAAGATGAAATTCACCACCTCTGGATGGAGGGACCACTCGTGGTGAGACAAGAAGGTCCTGCTGAGGCAATCTGCAAAGGTGTTCTTGGCCCCTGGAAGGTGCGCTGCAATGAGATGTATACCGTACTGCAGACAGAGGTCCCAGAGTCTGAGGGCTTCTTGACTGAGGGCCGTCGACTTGGCTCTGCCTTGCTTGTTAATATAGAACATGGTTGCCGTATTGTCCGCAAGTACCTGAACCACTTTGCCCTGTATATGAGGTGGGAAGGCTTGGCAGGCTAAGCAAACCGCCCTGAGTTCCCTGGCAAGTAGCGATCGTAACTGGACCAACAACCTTGGGTACTGAAATCACCCAGATGGGCTCCCCACCCCAGGTCCAAAGCATTGGAGATGAGGGTCATCAATGCGGCCGGAGCCGCAAAGGGGACTCCTTCCAATAGTGGCATGGAATCTTAACACCAGGTGAGAGGCGACAGTACACTGTCCGGAATTCTGACCACCCGATCCAGGCTGTGCTGGTTGGGGACATAATCCATAAGCCTGTAGGGGCCTGAGGTGGAGCTGCACATACCAGACCATGTATGTGCAGGCCACCATGTGTCTCAATAGTCTCAGGCACATGTGGGTGGCAGTGAGTGGATGGGCTCGCATACACAAGATGAGGTCCACCTTGGCTTGGAATGGAGTCTCAGGGAGGAAGGCCCTGGCCCGAATGGAGTCGAGAACCACACCGATGAATTCTATGCATTGCGCTGGGGTCACGGTTGACTTTTTCTCATTTATTATCAGCCCCAGGTCACGACAGGTGGAACAGACCAGCCCGAGATGCCGCCACACCTAGTCTCGGGACTGGCCCCTTATTAGACAGTCGTCGAGGTACAGATAAATTTGGACTCCCTGATGTTGCAGCTAAGCGGCCACCAGCGCTATGCACTTTGTGAACACCCTCGGGGCTGACCAGAGAGCAAAGGACATCACCATGAATTGGAAATGACATTGGCCCAGCTTGAAACGGAGGAAGTGCTGGTGCCCCCGGAAAAATGGAAATATGGAAGTAAGCGTCCTTTAAATCGAGGGTGGTGTATCAGGCTCCCGGATCCAGGGAGGGGGATGATGGAGGCCAGGGAGACCATGTGAAACTTCAACTTCTTGAGAGAATTGTTGAGGCGACGCAGGTCCAGAATGGGTCTGAGGCTGCCTTTTGCCTTCAGAATTAGGAAGTAACGGGAGTAGAACCCTTTTCCTTCCATGTTCCGAAGGACCTCCTCCACTGCCCCCAGATGCAGGAGGCTGTCGACCTCCTGAACGAGGAGCTGCTTGTGAGAAGGGTCCCTGAAGAGGGACAGGGAAGGGGGGGTGGGAGGAATGGATGGTGATAAACCTATAAAGGGTATAGCCTGACGAAACTGTATTGAGCACTCAACAGTCCAAGGTGATACAGGACCAGGCTGACCAGAAAGGGCGGAGGCAGTCGAGGAAGGGGAGGGATGGATCCTACAGATTGGCTCAGGAGTACCCTCAAAATGACGTTTTTTAGCCTCCCTGGCTCGGGGATGGTCAGGTTGTGAAGCCGGGCAGGAAGACGACAGGTATCGCCACTTATGCCCCTTGTCTTTATCCTTTCTCCTGTAGGCGCCTACTCTGGGAGTTCCCCAGGACCTGGACTGTTGAGGGGGAGGAGGCAGAGGACAGAAAGGCTTCCTGGACTGTTGCGGGGTATGAAGGCCCAGGGAACGGAGGGTGGCTCGGGAGTCTTTAAGGTGATGGAGTCTTGAGTCCGTGAGCTCAGAGAAGACCCCGGTACCCTCGAAAGGAAGGTCTTGGATCATGGCCTGCATCTCTTGGGACAACCCAAAGGACTGCTGCATCTCATGGCCACTGCAGATGTGACCACCCTGGCCGCTGAGACGGTAGCGTACCAGGCCATTTGGAGGACCGACCTCCCCCCTCTACCCCCCGGCGACTGATGTGCCTTCGTCCAGCAGCGCAGCAAACTCCTGGGCATGATCTTTGGGGAGGGCCTCTTCGAATTTATTCAGGAAATCCCACAGATTGAAATTATAGCGTCCCAGCAGGGCCTGGTGATTAAAGACCTTGAATTGTAGGCTAGCCGTTGAATAAACTTTTCTGCCAAACAAATCAAGTCTTTTGGCCTCTTTGTTCTTCAGTATGCTGCTAACTTGACCCTGTCTGTGCCTTTCGTTCACTGCAGACATGACCAGTGATGCTGCAGGGGGATGTGTATAGAGATATTCAAACCCCCTTGCAGGGACACAGTATTTCTTTTCCATCTTCTTAGAGGTCGCAGAATAGAAGAGGGGGTTTGCCACAGTGACTTGGCAATTTTAAGGACCCCCAGTTGGAGGGGAAATGCGACCCGAGCAGGGGAGGTGGCCGAAATGACGCCAAAGAGGTCATCAGCTTCCTCCGCCTTCTCCTCAACCTGGAGCTTTAAGTTTTCACCCACCCATTAAGGAGGGCCTGGTGCTCCTTGAAGTCATCCGGGGGACTGCTGGAGTGAAAAGGCCCAGCTATCGCCTCATGAGGGGGCGATGACAAGGACTGTCCCACTTGAGGAAGAGCGTGTTCCCCCTCCTTATCTGGGGAAGGCTCCTTTGGTGCCGGAGTCCGGTGCACTGGTGCTGCATCTGGCTCAGTACCATGCTCTGACTGCGGCGCCAGCAGTGCCATGGCTGGCTTATCCGAGGCAGCCAGGGAGGGCTGGGAATATGTGATCGGCATCACCGGCACTCCCCATGGATTCCAGTACGGTCACTGGGTAGGCCACTGTCCCTGCTGTGATGGCCCTGTGGTCGGTGCTGCAATGGTCTCCCACATTGAGGATAATTCCCTTGTTGGGGTGAAGGCTAAATTCTTGGTCCAACCCGGACCACTGTCCCTCCGGCGACCAGGATGGAGCCGTCGAGGCCTGGGTTTGCCTGCTGACTTTGGACGGCGACTTGCGAGGCGAAGGCAAATAGTGACATCTGCTGGAGGAGCAGTACCAGGCCTACTGGGACCAGCGCCGTGATTCTGAGTGGCCCCTCCAGGATGGTGACCAACGTCTAGGAGACAGGGCCTAGGCGACCTGTGGCTGGAAGTTTGCCGGTACCTGCGGTACGGGGAACAGCATCGCGGCTCGGCATCCTGCAGCTAGTAGGCGGGGAACGCGTCAGGGACCTGGGTCATCTAGCTGGAGAGTTAGGATACGGTGCCAGTGTCCGAGGTCGCGGAGATGGGGATGTACGCCTGCGGTCCGGTGATCAGGGGTGCTCCGCCCTCCTGTGAGGCTGCACTCCCATAGGCTTCCCCTTTGGTGCCGGAGTCATAGCCAAGACAGTCACCTGGTGTGGTGTCTGTGGAGCCGGCTGGCTTTGCTCTTTGGCCACCTGGATCACTTCGGGCCCTGACGGCCCTGGCAGAGGCCAGCGACCTTTGCCACTTCTCGGGGTCGGGGGTGGATCCCTGGCCGGGCTTGGGGGGTCTGAAGTCAGCAGTACCCCTGTGAAACCCCACAGTGGGCGTATGGCCTAACAAAGGTCCTTTGCCCACAGCCCCCTTGTCCTTCGGTGCCGAGGGGCTCCTCTTCTTCTGGGGGTTCTTCAGCACCGGCGAGGGGGAATAGTGCCAGGTGGAACCCGGTGCCGGCAGTGCGCTTCACTCCGAAGCCTCGCTCCTTTTGTGTACGAGGGTGAAAGTTCTTACAAATGCGACACTTGTCCTTTCTATGGGCTTCCCCTAAACACTTCAGGCAGCTGTTGTGGGGGTCACTGATCGGCATCGGCCTGCTGCATGACGCACATGGTTTGGAGCCAGGTGAGTGGTGCATGCCCCGCTCGGGGACAAAGTCCCAGAGGGACTCTAGGGACTCTAACTTAACACTATAAAGACTAACCAACTACTATTAACTATGTACAGATTAGGTAGAACAAAGGACTATGAAGAACCACTAACACTCTTGCTAAAGGCAAGACAAGGCACTCTAACCAACAGTCATGGGCAGTAAGAAGGAACTGAGAGGGTGTAGGGTCGGTGACGCCTAATATACCAACGCATAAATGTGGCACTCAAGGGGGCGCCAAAGCCGAAAACTATGGATACCGCTAAGGCAAAAGTCTCTGACAACTGTGCACATGGGCACGCACACACCTGGAATGGAATCGACATGAGCACACTCTTGAAGAACTGAAACTTCCATCCTAGGTTTATCTGCTTCAAGATATCAACCTCTTATCTTACTTTCACATACACTGAATGAAAATAAAAATAATTTAGACTACACTTGACCATTATAGTATTTTAAGTAGATTTTGTACTTATTTCCATACTCCATTTATTACATCCTTATTTCTTAGAATAAGCTATGTCTGCCCCACAGAACTATATCATGGGCTTCCTGAAATCACTTCAAAGCAGTGCGCTTCTAATTATCAATTTTTAACATCTTTAAACTTTTCTGTTTATTATGCCAGTTCACCTAATTACTAATGCTGTGGACCTCTTTTAGTATAAAGCCTCCCCCCTCCCCGAACAACTTTACTCCATTGGTGGAGCTACAATTTGCAAAAGGTGCTTCGATCAATCGGAGGCTTACAATGTGCATCACTACACATTAAATTTCACTGCCTCCAAGTTCATCGTAAAGAGGTACTATTATTGCACATCTCTGGGAAAGCTTCTGTTCTTCACACACAATCCAGCCTCCTAGTTCAGCAGTGTACGGCTGTGAAACTCAAGCACTCATATTTTAAAGTTATAGCTCGGAGAGAGTTCGAAGCTTTTATAGAATCATAGAACTGGAAGGGACCTCGAGAGGTCATCTAGTCCAGTCCCCTACACTCACAGCAGGACTAAGTATTATCTAGACCACTGGTTCTCAAACTTTTGTACTGGTGACCCCTTTCACATAGCAAGCCTCCGAGTGCGACCCCCCCCCATAAATTAAAAACACTTTTTTATATATTTAACACCATTATAAATGTTGGAGGCAAAGCAGGATTTGGGGTGGAGGCTGACAGCTCACGACCCCTCACGTAATAACCTCACGACCCCCTGAGGGGTCCTGACCCCCAGTTTGAGAACCCCTGATCTAGACCATTCCTGACAGGTGTTTGTTTAAGCTGCTCTTAAAAATCTCCAATAAATGGAGATTCCACAACCTCCCTATGCAATTTATTCCAGTGCGTAACCATCCTGACAACTAGGAAGATTTTCCTAATGTCCAACCTAAATCTCTCTTGCTGCAATTTAAGCCCATTGCTTTTGTCCTATCCTCAGAGATTAAGAAAAACAAATTTTCTCCCTCCTCCTTGTAACAACCTTTTACACACTTGAAAACTGTTATCATGTCCCCTCTCAGGCTTCTCTTCTCCAGACTAAACAAACCCATTTTGTTCAGTCTTCCCTCATAGATCATGTTTTCTAGACCTTTAATCATTTTTGTTGCTCTTCTCTGGCCTTTCCCCAATTTGTCCACATCCTTCCTGAAATGTGGCACCCAGAACTGGACACGATACTCCAGTGGAGACCTAATCAGTGCAGAGCAGAGTGGAAGAATTACTTCTCATGTCCTGCTTACAACACTCCTGCTAATACATCCCAGAATGATGTTCGCTTTTTTCGCAAGAGTGTTACACTCTTGACTCATATTTAGCTTGTGGTCCACTATGACCTCCAGATCCCTTTCGGCAGTACTCCTTCCTAGGCAGTCACTTCCCATTTATGCAACCCTCTGGAAAAATTATATGGATGGGAGGGGCAAGATTACTGCCTAGAAGCATCAAAGATAATGCACATTTGACGGGCACTAACAGGACCTCTACAAGCCCTTTATTTTACACATTGACCGTAGTCAGACCTCAGACGCATGCTGAACTTTAACACGTTTGCCCAGCTGAGGCCACTCCTGCAAGTCATAAGGAAAAGACTAGAGGCCTCTCTCTCATGGAGGAGGGCGGCGAGAGTGGGGTCCCCTACCCAGCCCCTGTTCCCCGGGCGCGGGGCTCGCTGCTGTAGGGGCCAGAGGCCGCAGCCAGCTACGCGCGTTCGCGCAGGGAACGAACTTGCAGCTCCGCGCATGCGCACCCAGCCGCGTCATGCAGCCAGTCCGCCCGCACTTACCCTGCACCCGGCCAAACACTTCATAGTCCACCGACTTGAGGACGCCGGAGGCCTTGGCGAGGGCGGACATGGTGGGGTGCAGGCGCGGGAGCCGGCCTGCTCGGATCCGCCGCGGGAGTGCGCGCGCTAGCCCCCTGGGCTCGTTTGGAGGGGCCCGGACGGCAGCGCGCGGGGCTCAAGTTTCTTGGAAAAGCAGCCGCCTGCCAGGCTGAGCCTGTGTCCGGCCCGAAGCGCCCTGCCCAGGCCCGCTGGTGGGAGCTGTGAGAACGTGTCTCGCGGCACCTGTCGCACAGCGCCGCGCCCCGACACTGACCAAGTACTGCGGCACAGCCCGCACCGAGACCCCCAGAGAGGGCGGCTCAACCGCTCACCGGGGTGGGGCAGGCACCTAACTCCTGAGACCGCGCAGGCAGGGGAGAGAGCTCCCAATATTGAGCCCTCCCCCAAACCAGCCTGAGGGACTCTCCCCCGACCGCTGAACCCAGAGACAGCCCCCTAATGAGGGGAGAGGCCCCCCATAAGGACCTCCAAGAGTGGGAGAGACCCACTGATCCTCCCAGGAAGTCCCCTCCCCCAACACGACGTAGTGTTAACCCACGCCCCCACCTGCAAAAAGTGAGGAGTGTCAGGGCACCCCCTGTGTGAGGGGATCTGGACTAGGGCCTGTATAGGAGAGTCTCTCCCTTCCCTGGCCTCTCCAGGAAGCAAAGGAGCTTGGGGCAAAGACCCCTTCCAACTTCTCCAATGAATAAGGAGACTTGGGGCAGCCTCTTCAATTGTTCCTCATTGGGTGGACCACACCTTTATAGAGTCTCATGGATCACCTTCCTAATCATGCAGGACATGTCCTTTTCCATTTGTGATTAGGTAACGTGTCAATTGCTAACATTGAAAATAACTTTAGGAAGGTATTTAAGGTACAGTAGAACCTTAGAGAGAGTTATGAACACCAGAGTTACGAACTGACCTGTAGGGCTCTCAAGCGATTAAAAAAATAATCACGATTAAGTGTGCTGTGAAACAACAATAGAATACCATTTATTTTAAATATTTTTGGATGTTTACTACATTTTCAAATATATTACTTTCAGTTACAACACAATACAAAGTGTACAGTGCTCACTTTATTACAAATACTTGCACTGTAAAAAACAAAAACAATTTTTTCAGTTCACCTCATACAAGTACTGTAGTGCAATCTCTTTATAATGAAAGTTGAACTTACAAATCTAGAATTATGTACAAAAAAAAACTTCATTCAAAAATAAAACAATGTAAACCTTTAGAGACTACAAGTCCACTCAGTCCTACTTCTTAGTCAGCCATCACTCAGACAAACAAGGTTGGTTACAATTTGCAGGAGATAATGCTGCCTGCTTCTTGTTTACAATGTCACCTAAAAGTGAGAACAGGCGTTCGCATGGCACTGTTGTAGCTGGTGTTGCAAGATATTTACGTGCCAGATGCTCTAAAGATTCATATGTCCCTTCATGCTTCCACCACTATTCCAGAGGACGTGCTTCCATGCTGATGATGGGTTCTGCTTGATAACGATCCAAAGCAGTGGGGACTAACGCATATTTAATTTCATCATCTGAGTCAGATGCCACTAGCAGAAGGTTGATTTTCTTTTTTGGTGGTTTGGGTTCTGTAGTTTCCGCATCAGAGTGTTGCTCTTTTAAGACTTCGAAAAGCATGCTCCACACCTTGTCCCTCTCAGATTTTGGACAGCACTTCAGATTCCTAAACCTAGGGTTTTGTGCTGTAGCTATTTTTAGAAATCTTACATTAGTACCTTCTTTGCGTTTTGTCAAATCTGCTGTGAAAGTGTTCTTAAAACGAACATGTGCTGGGTCATCATCCGAGACTGCTATAACATGAAATATGTGCAGAATGCGGGTAAAACAGAGCAGGAGACATACAGTTCTCCCCCCAAGGAGTACAGTCACAAATGTAATTGACACATTTTTTTAACGGGCATCATCAGCATTGAAGCATGTCCTCTGGAATGGTGGCCGAAGCATGGAAGGGGCATATGAATGTTTAACATATCGCACATGTAAATACCTTGCAATGCCGGCTACAAAAGTGCCATGCAAACGCCTGTTCTCACTTTTAGGTGACATTGTAAGTAAGAAGCAGACAGCAGTATCTCCCGTCAATGTAAACGAACTTGTTTGTCTTAGTGATTGGCAGAATAAGAAGTAGCACTGAGTGGACTTGTAGGCTCTAAAGTTTTACACAGTTTTGTTTTTGAGTGTAGTTATGTAACCAAAAAAAAATCTGCATTTGTAAGTTACACTTTCACAATAACAATTCAGTACTTGTATGAGATTAATTGAAAAATACTATTTCTTTTATCATTTTTACAGTGCATATATTTGTAATAAAAAATAATAAGATGAAGTGAGCCCTGTGCATTTTGTATTCTGTGTTGTAATTGAAATCAATATTGAAAATGTAGAAAAACATGCAAAAATATTTAATAAATTTCAATTGGTATTCTATTGTTATAAGTGTAATTAATCGTGATTAATTTTTTTAATCATGATTAATTTTTTTTAGTTAATCGTGTGAGTTAGCTGCAATTAATTGACAGCCCTACTGACCAGTCAACTACATGCCTCATTTGGAACCGGAAGTATGCAATCAGGCAGCAGCAGAGACCAAAAAAAAGAAAGAGGCAAATACAGTACAGTACAGTACTGTGTTAAATGTACACTACTAAAAAAAAAAAAGTTTTAAAAAAATTTGACAAGGTAAGGAAACTTTCTGTGCTTGTTTCATTTAAATTAAGATGGTTAAAAGCAGTTTTTTTCTTCTGCATAGTAAAGTTTCAAAGCTGTATTAGTCAATGTTCAGTTGTAAACTTTTGAAAGAACCACCATAACATTTTGTTCAGAATTACGAACATTTCAAAGTTACGAACAACCTCCATTCCCAAGGTGTTCATAATTCTGAGATTCTACTGTATTTATATATCTGTAATGCAATTTGTATGCAGTGTTGATGTAGTTGTGTCAGTCCCAGGATATTAGAGAGACAAGGTGAGTATGGTAATATCTTTTATTGGACCAACTTCTGACAGTGAGTGAGACAAACTTTTGAGCTTACACAGAAAGCTTGTCTCATTCACCAACATAAGTTAGTACAATAACAGATGTTACCTCACCCACCTTGTCTCTTTAATGCAGTTTATCAGGTAGAAACAAGAGCTAGCACCTTATGAATAGCCATCTCTCTACAGAACCCCAGAGATCCACAGGCCGCAGTATTGTTGCATCTCTACGAAGTAGTAGTAGATGTCAGGGCCTTGTTGTGGGAGGAGAAATCAGTGATGTGCTGTCTAGGCATATTCTTAGTGCAACTTCCTTATTTTACATTATATACAGCAGCCCTTGAACACAGTTAGTCACAAACTGCTTGCATACACTCCCCTCTTTCATGGAGCTCAGTTCAAACACGACCGACTGGTTTCTCTCCCTCAAGAAGTGACTAGTTAGAGCAGTGGTGGGCAACCTGCAGCCCGCGGGCCACATGCGGCCCATCAGGATAATCTGATTGCAGGCCACGAGACATTTTTCTGACGTTGACCATCCACAGGCACGTTCCTCCGCAGCTCCCAGTGGCCGCAGTTCGCCGTTCCCACAGCTCCCATTGGCCAGGAATGGCGAACCGCAGCTACTGGGAGCTGTGGGGGACCGTGCCTGCGGATGGTCAACATCAGCGAAAGGTCTCGCGGCCCGCAATCATATTCCCTGATGCGGGCCAATGAGGCTGGGGTTTGCCACAGGGCATTTGAAATTTTCGCCACCTCTTCATGGAGAGACAAGGCCACCCTGCCCTGTGCCAAGGAGGACAGCACGTTAAACAGGAAGTCCGAGGGCTCCTCCATCTCCTGCTTTGAGGTTGAGGCTTGATGCCACCCTTTTTAAGAGTTCTTGGTGGGCCCTAAAGTCCTCCTGCGGGACGGAGGGAGGAGGCGCCATAATCACCTCATCCAGGGAGGGTGAGGAGGCCGGCACGGTACTTTGGCTGTCCACCGGCACTGGAGGGTCCACCACCTGGTCGGTCTCCGGGCATGGTGCCGAGGATGTACGTCCCACCGACTCAATCCTCGGAGGTCTGGAGAGGGAGGCCGATGGTCCTTCTGAGGTTCCGGCCACCAAGCGCGCCCCCACCAGGGGCTGTGTTTGGGGCCACGGTGCCCACTGGTACCATTGGGCCAGCCACAGGGTCATTTGCCACTGTACCTGCTGTGACACAGGCAGAACTGACTGTTTGGCCTGGCTGGCCTGACCAATCGATGGACGACTACGAAGGGAGGCCGGGCTGACATACGACCTGCCACTATCCCTGGACCGGGAGGAGCGGCAGCGCCGGGAGCGATGCTGACCACGGGACAGCGATCCCGATGTGAAGGACCGGTACCGTCAGTTACAGCTGCTCCACAATCGGCTCCAGCGGGCAGACCTGCGACGGCGAGACGCCGGCGATCGACGCCCGGAGCTGCAGAGGCGGTGCCGTGGCGGGGTCCTGGAGTGGGACGCTGAACAGGAACGACGTCGACGTTTGTGCTGTGACCAGCTGCAATAGCCCCTCTGAGATGAGGACCTTTGGTGATGTCTGCCTCGGTCCCATCGGTGTTCGCTCCTCGAGGCGGAGTGGTGCCGAGAGTCTTGGTCAGACGGAACCCAACCAGACAGCCTGGTGGGTGTTGAGGACAATCCACGTAGACTTTGCCCTGAACGGTCGCTGGGTGGCGAACGGTGTCGGGAACATTCCCTCAACTGAAACCAGTACCGAGCCGGGGGCGACTGTGGAGATCCCAGCAGCAGCTTGCCTGTGGAGCGCAGGGCCGACATTGGCGGCGCTCTTGGTACCGGCATGGACATAACATCCCGGGCCGCCTGCAGGGCCTCCAGTGTGGAGGGCATCCGGACATCCGGGGAGGCCTGCTCCAAATTGGTCGGGCTACTCCACGCGACTTGAGTCAGAGACCTAGAGGCCGGTGGGGATCGAAGACTGCCCAACGTGGGTCTAGCCTCTGTCCTGGGTTTACTCTGGTGCCACAGCAAAGAAGACCTCTTCCTAGCCTTCTTAGTGTGCCCCATGGAGTGGGAGCAGTGCCGACTAGTCAATGGCGTTGGAGGGTCACCACGCACCGACACCGCGGTGCCAACTCGGAGCAGCGCGCCATGCCGGGGTCAGCACCAACTCCATCAGGATAGCCCAGAGCCTAATGTCCCTTTCTCTCTTGGTCCGAGGCTTAAACGACTTGCAAATCTTGCAGCGATTGCTGAGATGGGTTTCCCCCAA